CCCAAACCACCTTGGCGTTACTTTGTAAGATCATGAGCTGGTTTTCTTTGTTGGCCTCGCCGTTCATGAATGATTGTCGCCTTAGCATTTTTCGGCCAAATGACAGCAAACGGTCTTTTGCACGCCACGAGTTTCTCTTGTTAACGCCAGTTAGGAAGAAAGTCCCTAACTTACCTTGCTGACAATGAAGGAAGTAATGTGTGTTCATAAAATGCATGACAGGTGTGGATATTGCTACATAAATGGAAGGTGAGAGAATCGCTTATATGTCGGCTCATACTGACCCGTTTGTATAACTTTATAGAAGTAACACATAAACAGTAACACGAATCAGAATGATGAGATATAGAGTGACGAGTGATGAAAATGCGACGGATTGGTGGATAGAAAGTTAATGCACTTTAACATCTAATGTATGGGTCAACTTGAAAGGATGGATTCGAGCATGTTCCGCGTTTTACGTTTCTTATTCTGTAGAATCCGAGCGGGATCACCGAATTTCTGTATGCGTCAGTTCTCGTATTGATGTAGCCACATTAGGATCTTGTGGAATGAGACCTCGAAATGTATCTTGAATCATCCCTGTGCATGGAATGGAGAAGGTTCGTTAGATTTGATCTTACAATCTGATCTATCGTCATTTAAGACGCTCGTATTGGACAACTGACCTGCTCTGCCGAGAAGTTTTGCAACCAATCGAAATTCGCCACTAAGAGAAGTGTATTGGTGAATCATATGTAGAATCTAAGAAACAGTTGCTCGATTCCATTGGCGGTTTGTACAGATGTTATACGTTTTTAAAAAATAACTCCGTACGTTAGTTCTTTTATGACTACTCCTTTCTGCTGTGCAGTGAGGTGTAGAATTTCTGTTACGGTAGCACCACTATAGTTTGTGCTAAAGACCGTGTCTATCGTTTAGTTCTGCTACAAAATGGAGGGAGCCAGGAAGTTGTTTAACCTACTAGAGAAGTGCTTGTTAAGCCAGAATAATCATTCTTTAGTTTGGAATAATTAATGAGTAAACCATTTTACCTAAACAGAAATGACTACTTAAACTTAGATACCTGGTACAAGGGCCTGAAATAGGTTTCTTGAAACGAATCGCTGGCATTACGCGTCTCGACATAGTCCGGAGTACAGAGATGCATGAGAGCCTTGGTGTACAGCTCTTGCTTCTCCAGATTGAGAAGTCACAGTTGCGATGGTTTGGGCATGTGTTGCGAATGCCTCCAAAAATAAAGGCTAAGAAACTGTTTCTTGCGAAACCGACCAACAGAAGGCTCAAGGGACGGCCAAGACTTAACCTGAAGCAAATATATTGAAGGTGTCTGTTCTAGACTGCAGTTGTCTTCTGCCGAAGCTCAAACTCTGGCACAGGATTGTGAACGTTGGAAGCTCTGTCTGACG